ATGTTCAAAAAAAATGCCTAACATGTAAAAAATAAAAAATAAATAAAAAAATAATCCAGCGGACTATTTTCTAATACCAAATCCTAAACCTCCATCATAATTCCCTCCTCAAGACCCATTCTAATCCGGAAGATATTATGAATCCCTTTCCATCTCTCAAAATAAACACAATATTAGTAGGTCTCACCCATATCTCAATCACAATCCCCCCTCTCTCTTCCAAAACAAACGGGGCCTAAATGTGTAGTGTAAAAGTTGAATTACCCCAGCTGAATTGCCCTTTGATTAATACCCCATTTATGAGAAATGAGCCATTTACATAGATAAATTGTCAACTCTAACATCTTATTGTTCTCTGTGCTCTATCGCTTTGAATCCCTGATCTCATTTAGTTGCTGATTATCAACACAATATATGTAACATTACTTCATCACTTCAAAAGTTCTTTAAATCATAAAACTAATTTGTGCACTTTTTGCTACCTAAAATCATCTAAATTCAATAAAATAGAAGTGAGCTTGCACCTACAAACATGTCATTATAAAGTAGTGGAATTAATTTTAAACAATCATCTAAAGAATTTGTTTGAAAAAAAATAATCATATTGCTTAATGTTTAAATAGAGTGTGAACAATATTTTGTAAAGATATTGTGAACGATGATAAATTTGTAGAAAATGTGATTTCAAACTGAAACAAATCACTTTTCATTAGTTTGGTCTAATTTGATTACCAGATTTCCATAAAAAAAAAATAAAAAAAAAATTGGATAATTTTATTTTATTTTATTTTTTTATTTAAAACTATAGATAGTGGTTTGGTCTTTGATTTCATCTTAAATTGAATCAAAGCGAAACAAGCTTACCCTATTATTTAAATTCAAATTTTATGTATTTTCACTAAAATTTGAATTTTTTCTTTTACTTTTGATTGTGACAATCAATTCTTTATATGTTAATTCAAGTTACAACTTATAATGTCATTATTTCATCTATCTAATATTAATGAGACTAATGAAAATGATATTAGTCATATGTGATATTTTTATTGTCTAAAAAATCTATTTGCGCTTTTGCTAAAATAGTTACTTTGATCATTGAATTTCCCCTCATTAACAATAAATGGATGAAAGAATAACACTACAAATTAAAATGTAAGTATTTGACTACCACAATTGAAATTAGAAAAATTCAAATAAAATTTTGATAAAAATATAGAGATAAAAAATTTAATTAACCTTTTCTTTTATTCATTTTTCATAAATATTTTTTTAAGAGACAATTGCTAAAACTTGAGAGGTTTATGAAACTTATTTTTATGAGTCTCATTTTAATGATCCGAATCGTTTATTTTGTAACACTTTTTATATATAAATGATTCATAAAAAAAAAATTAAGTTCTCATTTGGCAAGTGAGTCAGGTTTAGGTTGGAACTAAAAAAACACAAAAATAAAATATAGGCTACATAAATCGATAAGATAAAATGTTACATCTAAATCATAATCATTTTACTTTTTTTGTCATAAAAAAGCAAAAAAGTAAAAAAAAAATTCTTCCCAAACGGAGCTAATTTAACCAGGTTAAATTAGCCAAAAAATTAAAAAGTAAGGCTAAAAAAGTTCTTCCCAAACGAACCCTAAGGCCTCGTTTGGCAAGTGTCTGTTTTAGCCTAAAAGTCAAAAAATACGAAAAAAATTAAAAAGTCTATAACCTATACCAAAAAGTTAAAGATTTCATTTTCTCTCTACTTTTTGCACATCTTTTTGTAAAAAATTAAAAGTTATTCCAAACATACTAGTTTTTTTTATCTCATATTTTAGCCAAAAATTCAAAAAGTTACTAAAATAATCTGTTCTCAAATGATGCCTAAGTTGATTTGATAATCATAGACATTCATTTTTTTGAGAGAAACGCAATAAAAATAAAATTGTTACGATTATCATTTTATCATATTTGTCTATAAATAAAATAAAATAAAATAGACGTCTACATGTATCGAATTGATCTAATTTTTTCATAAATAATATATACTGAGGGCCCTACAATTAATTGTTTGAATTATTCAAACGAAATCTATGGTGTACATATAGCACAAGTAACCAGGGTTCTATTTGGTTTAGTTTTTGAAAAAAAAAAAATTTTTGAGTTTTGAGTTCTATTTTGAAAGATAAGTAGTTAAAAAGATGTTTGAAAATTAAAAATTTATTTGATTATGAGTTTTGAAATTAATTTTGGAATTTTTTTTTTTGTGTAATTAAATAGATGAGTGTGAAAGAAAATTTGATTGATTGATGTGTAGAATGTGAGAGAATGAGAGAGAAGAAATGAGAGAAGGGAGAGGGGAGAGAAAAAAAAAAGATTGATTAATTTATTAATAAAAAAAAGAGAAGGAGAGAGAAGAGATTTTGAAAAGAGTTTTGAAAAATTGTTAATCAAATATATTTTTTTAATTTTTTGATTCAAATATTAATTTAAAAATTAAACCAAACACTATCTTAGTTTTTTTTCCAGCCCTGCACAAATTTAAGATTCAAGATCCAAACTCCTATTTTTAAGGATAAATTACAAATTCATCTTCAAAAATTCATTTAAAATATGAATTACTTTATATGGTTTTAAAAATTACATTTCATTTCTTAAAATTTTTAATTTCATAACAAATGGTCTATTTTAGTAATAAATAATCAATTCAATTAAATTTTTTATTAATATCATAAATATATTTTAATTAATAATTTAAGTAATTTTATTATAAAAAATGTTAGGGATATAAAATAAATTATTAAAAAAATCTATCAAATCACTCATGTGATTGATTTGGTAGAATTTTTTAGTAAAAAAATTGATACACCTAGCATAAATATTTTAATATTATATAAAAGAAAAATTAAAAATTTTATTTTTTCAATTAATTTTATTTATAAAAAAATTATGTTTCGAAATCTTGGGATTAAGCATTTTGCAATGCAATCCTGCTACAGACCCCCACTGGGGGTCGACCCCCAGTGACGTGGCGAAACGCCATTCGCCAATTTTCTTTCTTTTTTTTTTTTTCCTTTTCGGCCAATCACCCACAGCCACGTAGGCTGGGGGTCACCCCTTACTGGGGTCCCCCGCATTTTCCTTTGCAATGAGGGGAGGGGAGTAGTAGATGGGGTGTGGCAGTGAGTTTTGAACGGTACGAAAGGAAAATTATAAATTAAATAGCGAATTAATAAATTGGTAAATTGGTAAATTATGGTTTGAATAGTTTTGGACGGATTAAAGAATTGAAAGACATTTTCACAAATTATCAAACTTTTACATAATATATAACATTAATTTATATAATATTTTTTATATATATAACATAAATTAATTTTACATAATATTTATATATATATATATATATAACTATTAATTTATAATAAATTTTATATATAAAATATTATTCACACATATTTTTACTTTAATATTTTATTATAAATTGAAAAAATATATATATATTAATTATAACAGCGTAAAATAATTTTAAAAAAAAATTATAAATTTTAAAATTTAAACCACGATTAATCGGTTGAGCGATGCGAATTAATCCGAATCTACGAATTGACACCGTAATAACGAATTAGGCAGTATTTTACACGTGGGCCGTAGCAGGTGCGGATGGGAAAAGAGTCTAACGCGTGGAATCCGGATCCTCCGTCGCCCTTTCTTGCGGGGCATCCCTGTCGCCCTTCAAAACGACGTCGTTTTGGAGGTTTTTTTTTTTTTTTTTTTTGCCTTTTCTTTTCTTTTCTTCTTCTTCTCACTGATAACTCTCTCTCTCTCTCTCTCTCAGTCGGTTCTCAGTGCCCAAGTCATGGTTTTGGGTATGGTGAGCTTGGTGGTGATTGATTAGCAATGGTGGATTAAAAATCTGAGGCTTCACATCTGAGCATTCAAGTGGTGGCTGCTGTTGTTGACATTGCTGCGGTGAGTTATAATTTGAGGGTTTGGAAGCTTGTAATTTGTTAGAATTGGTGTGTTTGGGGGGAGTGAAAGTTTCTTATTCTTAATAGAACCCATAAAATTCCCAACACTTGAAACCATGTCTAACCCAAAACCTTGATCTACAACCCCAAAATCGCCAAATCTTTCAAAAAATATATATATATATATATATATTAATATTTCTATTTAGATTTTTCCAGATTTGAAAAAATACAACAATGATTCATCCCACTAAAAATATCACCACTAATAGCATTAATGCATTGAAAAAGTAAAAAAAAAAAAAAATACAACTCCAAGACCAAAACATCACATCATTAATTGCAGGACCCACTGCGACCTAATTAGTGGGAACACTAATTAATGCTCTCAAGCAATCACATCATTAATTGCGGGACCCACTGCCACCTAATTAGTGGGAACACTAATTAATGCTCCCAAGCATTTTTCGGAAAAATAATACAAGTAATCTGTGTAGATTTGATTTTACAGTTATGGTAATTTTTTTCAACAAAGCTATGCTAATCTTTCTGAATTAGATTTGTAGATATGTTTGAATCAGGTTTCCAGATCTGTAAAAATCAGGTTTCCATATCTGGAAAAAAATGGTAAATTTGTTGATCTAAATTTGTTTTTTTTCAAATTTTTGGTGAAAAATCTGTGGATCTGCATAAGATTTGTTTTCATCATGAAAAATCTGTGGATCTGCAGAAGATGATGAAGAGAAAAAAGAAAAAATTTGTTGATGAAAAATCTGCAGAAAAACGCAGAAAAAAGAAAAAAAAAATTGTTGATCTAAATTTGTTTTTTTTCAAATTTTTGGTGAAAAATCTGTGGATCTGCAGAAGATTTGTTTTCATCATGAAAAATCTGTGGATCTGCAGAAGATGATGAAGAGAAAAAAGAAAAAATGTGTTGATGAAAAATCTGCAGAAAAAAGAAAAAAAAAATTTACTTGTATTAATGGTTTGCTGATTGATTCTGAATCTATGATCCTCAAGTTTTTTTTTTATATATGTACATAGCCGCCGCCCAAAGAAGAAGACAGGGTTGAGGTTGAAGTAGGAGGGCTTGGGCTTCGGATGGTATCCAGGACAGAGGTAGGCTCAGTGAGAAGAAGAAAAAAAAAACCCTCCAAAACGACGTCGTTTTGGAGGCCGACAGGGACGCGCCGCAGGAAAGGGCGACGGAGGATCCGGATTCCTAATGCGTGCGGGAGCAAATCAGCAGATAGATACGACCGAAAGAGAAAGACGAGGGAGAGGGGCGAATGGAGGAGGCAGTTGTGAAGGTGAACATAAAGTTCGGCGGAGGATCCATACCTGTGTCCCTCTCTCTTGATTCCAGCGTCAGAGACCTCAAATCTATACTCCAACCCCTCACCAATGTCCTCCCTCGCGGTCAGAAGCTCATCTTCAAAGGGAAAGTTCTGCTGGATGAACTCACTTTGAGGTCGTCCCAGGTCACCGATGGGGCTAAGATCATGCTCATGGCTTCCCAAGGTTTACACCAAGGGGTACTAGTACTACTACTACTCTTTCTTCCTTTAAATCTCACCAATTTTATTTCTCTCTTTCTTTCTTTCTTTCTTTCTTTCTTTCTTTATTGGGTGATATGATAAATGAAAGGGACGTAACAAGATAGATTTGTCTCTCGTTATTTGTTATCAAATCAGTCAATCCAAACTGGCTGTGTAAGCGTTTCTGAATCTCTGTGAATTAGCTAATTATTGCTGAATTTATTCACACAGGATGGTCCCATTAGGAAGGAAGCACCGGCTTCATCGAATTTGAGGCGGATGGCCGATGCAAATCGAGGCAAGGAGGGGAAAAGGGATGATGTTGCTGCTGTTGAAAAGAGCCAGTTTGAGCGTTGGAAAGCTACTGGGGTTATAGCATTGTCTGAATGCAACTTGAGGGTATACACTACTAGTCCTTGTGTTTGATCAATTCTTCCATGAGTTAAATCCATGAAACACTGAAACAAATCTGGGTATCATTATATAATTTTATATTTTGGGTCAGAAAGATCACACTGTAATTATTCTTTTTTGGAACTTCAAGGCTATACCTGATGAAGTATGGACTTGTGGACCTTCTGCGAGGGTACTTGATCTCAGCCACAACTCTATAAAAGACATGCCAGCTGCAATTGGCAGTTTGCGTGCTTTGCAGGTGACAGGATGCCTTATATCTCTTTTAGTTGTTGTAATCAAGCTACCTGATCTATTCTCTCTAGAGAATTTTCGACATTTTTAGTTTTTTGTTTATTTTGTAGAAGCTGCTCCTGAATGCAAATGAACTATTGGTCGAATCCATTAGCTGGGAAGGAGTAACATCTCTAAAGTCTCTGACTGTTTTGTCACTAAACCAAAACCAGTATGTCATCAGTGTTCTTCATGTTATTTGCTTGGTTATTGTTTTAATTGTCATATTCAGTAGGAGCTCAAACTATTGAAGTTTTTTAACTCAAGTCTTTCTTTAATATGTTCCTTCCAAGATATGATCAGAAATTTTATAACAGAAACTTGAATATGCTGGTGTTACAGCTAAAGAGTCAAATGTATGCACTGTCGTTTTTGTGTCTGCAACTAGTGATGGTTATTGGGCCTATTTGTTGTTCGTACTTGTTTTTTTGGGGGTAAATCTTAAATTAACGGACCCCTAAGGTTTTGGTAATATTAACTCCTTACCCCAGTGGTATCAGAAATTGCATTGAGTTCCCGTCAGTCTGTGTCAAAAAACGCTGTTAACTAGAGGCATGAATTAACCTTAATATCCTGTCAAAAATATCATTTCATGTAAATAATACAGTTGTTCAAAATAAAAATAAAAATACTTTTTCTCTCCAGGACCCAACAACTAGATCTCAACCATTTGCTATCAAACCACCACCATCACTCAAAAGAACATGCTTTACCTTACCTAAGCTATTCATGTTAAGGCATAACAAGCACCCAGCCCCCACACAAAACTCAAAAATTTGATATAATTCCTATTTTTCTTGAGGCTAGACAATGGTCATTTTATGTATTATTTTGTATAACATACTAAGGACAAAAGGAACTACCTTCTGGCTTTACCATTGCGATTTTTGTTCTACTTTGAAAGACATTTTGTTCATTAATAATTAAATTATTTTCATGGATAGCTTATGCTCATATGGATGACCTCCTTCAATTTACCTCTTATTTGACCAATTTAAACATCTATTTGATCTCTGTATTAAGTTTTATGACCCTAGAAATGTAGGCACTTTGTATGGTTGTGTTAGGCACACACATGTAGTAGTTAGATGACTGAGGTATATTATCCTACCAGGTTTAATTACTGAGGCCTGTACTTTTTTTATCATTTGTGTTTCAGAATTTCATTATGTGACTTGTGCAGTTTAACAGCTTTGCCTTCTGCCATGGGTGCTTTGACTTGTCTGAGGCAACTTCATATTGCGAACAACAAGCTGACATGTCTCCCGACTGAAATAGGATGCCTGACTCAACTTGAAGTTTTGATAGCAAACAATAATAGGTACTTTTGCACTTAATTTATCAAAAAAAAAAAAAAGGTACTTTTGCACTTAAAATGTAATTACTCTATGGTGGGGTATAATTTTGTTGCTTTTCTTATTGGGCTTAACTTCGTATTCCATTTCCCCTTGCCTGCCTTCTCTTTTAGTTTGGCATAAATGACTAAGTGCTAATGATTTGTCTTCCTAATGTTAATTTCTGTTTTCTTTTTTGGGACATTGGGGCGTGAACTATTGCAGTGCTTCCTAACTTCATGTTTTATTGGCATTTCGCATCCCATAGAATTTTATAGATTTTACTGGATCCTGCTAAATGCCAAGTGTGATGACCTTTTATGTTGTGGATATTAGTTTGAATTAATTTAAAAAATGTTATGCATGATATCCTGTAGTTCCCAGTAGTTGTGTTCTGAACTTTTCTTGTTACATTTTTATCACTTCACAGGATATCCACTGTCCCAACTTGTATAGGAGAATGTACTTCTCTTGCTGAGGTAAGATTCTAGTTCTTTTGTCACGAAATCTAATTCTTACAAATTTTATTTGTGATGAATAATCCAGGTTTTTCACTCGAGATTGGAGAATAAATTTTTTTTTTTTTTACTCTGGTGATATTCTGGACGTGGTTTTGATGTAGTGCAGGTAGACCTTTCATCAAATCTCTTGGCGGACTTGCCAGAGACATTTGGCAATCTACAAAATTTGAAGGTCCACCTTCTGTACTTTCTTATTTCTTCTCTTATTTTGCTTTTCTTCCTTACAAAGAAAAGAGGAAAAGGAGCACTTGTGTTCTCTGTATTTAGCCTAGTGTCAAGATAAAGCAAGCGGAAGAAAGTCATATATGCATGAGAAATCATGAGTGACAAACTAATTTGAGAGAATTAAGCATATTAATTTGAGAGGATTAAGCATATAGACTGGCTGTGTTTGAGAAAGGAACTTGAAGCATTCAGGGACACCCAAATATATCTAGCTATACTGGAACACAAATAGTAATCTTCACTATAAACTGCATTAGATACTATGGGTCCGTTTGTTTTGGATGACAGTGGACAGAATTAGATTAGGATAGATGTGAGATCTATTATAATAGTATTTGTTTACAAAATAGGGAAGGAGATTTATAGTCCCTTAGGATTATGATAGCCCTTAGAGGTAGAGATTAGCAAAGGCCTCCGAGGATTAGGTTTCAAAACTATGATAGGCCTTAGAAAAAGACTATTTTATCCATAATGAATTACATCTAGGATGAAGATTTCTTGCTGCCCAGGTAGCTGGAAATTCAACACCGGGGGTGGTGGCCTAGTGGAGAAAGCAATTCTCTCCACAAGGGTGATCTAGGTTCGAATCCTGGGGAGTGGGAAATGGATAAATTTCCTAGCTGGCTTTTTTTAAGACCTCGTACTGTACTCCGATCAACCCTGGGCTCTCTGTGGTGTGTGGTTGAACTCCATTGGTGCCTCGATGATGGGTCTTTTCCTATGGGTTGGGTTAAATCTGGCCGGCAACTGGTTACCTTGGGGCCAGGGCTGACAGATGCGGCGACGACACAACAAAACATCCTTTTTTCTCTGTTCAAAAAAAAAGAAAGGTAGCTGGAAATTCCTGCTTCCACAATGTGGCTGGCTGCCACGTGAATTGATTATCTCTCTGTCTGAAAGTCTTACTACATTTGATATTTACCCTCTGACAAGGAACCTTGGAGATTTCTATGGTGAAAGCAACCACAGGACCTAGAAGTAACCACCATGGGAGGAACTTGACGATGCATATTTTGGCACAAGACAACGACTTCGTCTCAACAAATATTTTTTATATTCTCTTTCATGCCTCTGTTCCATGATACCCTACATTCAATCTTACTTCCTCTTTACCCTAGGAGCCAACCTCATCTTACCATATGGGAATGAAGAGGGTAAAATCAAGATACGTTCCAATGAATTCTGTAAGACGTTGGACTTCAGGGCATAATTGATACATGTACCTAACTTAAATGAAATGTTAAAACTAAATTTAAATGTTAGAAAGTAACAGTTGCTTGTTTTTTGGTTGCATCAAGATACAAGCAACATCTTAATTCTGCTGCAAATATCAATGGCAGAATAGTAGGGTAAAACATCAACTTCGCATGCCAACTAGAAGAGGAATGCAGTGTTTGGAGTTGTAGCATATTGGTTTTTGATAATGGCACACATTTGATTGAACTTTTCCATTCTAAAGTTCGCAATGTTGCCTTTTTTAACTTTACGATGAAAAGGTTGCTTCTTGCAGTTCTATTCTTTGATGAAGCATGTGTTTCTGTTTGCATTATTATGCTTCCTAGAACCTTGGCGGAAGGGTAGATTCATTTTAGCTTTTTAAACATTTTGTATGCATTATTATGTCCTAAGAAGCATAGACACTTCTATGAAGGAATTATGTCATGTCCGACACCCATGTTGGACACTGATACTCGTCGAACATTTCTAAAGCTTGTCTAACACTTCTTCATTGTGGCTTAATTAAAAAATCAAATACATAATATCGGACACTTTACCGACAATTTGTGAACGCTTCGGTGACATTTCTTGAACCCTCCAAATACGTCCTATGTGATGAATCCTTTCATAATAATAATGTCATGCTGTTAAAATCTACCATCACCTACTCCACCTACTACACCTACCACCACCTTCTACCACCTACTACACACCTACCACTACCACCTACTACCACCTACTCCACTACATCTCCTATATAAGGAACCCCTCACCATTTGTAATTTATAACATACAACATATATCAATCAATAATACATCTATTTCTTACATGGTATCAGAGCTATAGGTTAAAGATCTTGGTGTTCTTCGCCTTCCGGCGGGCGGCAACCTTGCCTTGACCGCCCGCCGAACCTCAACCAATTCAAACCTCCCTCTCCCTCTCGGCACCTCACTTTCTCTCTCTACAAATTTCTCCGTCCGTTTATCTCTCTACCCCTTTGTCTCTCTAAGTTTTAGGGTTTTGAGTGTGAGAGAGATGGGGCAACAGTCTTTGATCTACAGCTTCGTGGCTAGAGGAACAGTGGTTCTCGCCGAATTCACCGAATTCACTGGAAATTTCACGAGCATCGCTTCTCAGTGCCTCCAGAAACTCCCTTCCTCCAACAACAAGTTCACCTACAACTGCGATGGCCACACCTTCAACTATCTCGTCGAAGACGGCTTCACTTATTGTGTCGTCGCTGTGGAATCTGCTGGCAGACAGATTCCAATGGCATTTCTTGAACGAGTTAAGGAGGATTTCACCAAGAGATATGGTGGTGGAAAAGCTGCAACTGCTGCTGCTAATAGCCTGAATAGGGAGTTTGGACCCAAACTTAAGGAGCAGATACAGTACTGTGTGGATCATCCAGAGGAGATCAGCAAGCTTTCCAAAGTAAAGGCTCAGGTTTCAGAAGTCAAAGGAGTGATGATGGAAAATATTGAGAAGGTTTTGGATCGTGGAGAGAAGATTGAGCTTCTAGTGGATAAAACAGAGAACCTTCGCTCTCAGGCACAAGACTTCAGGACCCAGGGTACCCAAATGAGGAGGAAAATGTGGTTACAGAATATGAAGATAAAGCTTATAGTTCTTGGTATCCTCATTGCCTTAATTTTGATCATAGTTTAATTGTGCGTGGGCCAACCTTCTCCACTCATTTATTTTATTATTATTTTTTACAAATCCATACCCACTCTAATTCATACCTCCTCACTTTTTAAAACGCATGCTGATTCACGCTACCCCTACTTTACCCCACTTTACCTTTATTTATTTTATTTTATCAAAAAAAAAAAAAAATAAAAAAAATAA